TATTATTTAGAAGAAGTTACCTCTTGTGTATATTGAATGTTGATTTAAAATAATTAAATGTTTCTTTCAAATTTTTTTGATAAATCTTGTGTAGAAATAAGACTTAAAACTGATTTCATAGATAATAATGATCATTTCTAATGAATTTAATAAACTCTTATGTATTTGATAAGATGAACATATTAATTCGAATAATTTCCAAAAGTACTTAATTGTGTATGATTAACTTTTTTAACTTTGTCTGTATTTGATGTTGTTGATGAATCTTTATCATCCCCTTTAAAAAGAAAAAAACAAATAAATTCATTCAGACGAAACATGATCAAATATATTTTTCAAATCTAACACTTTGGAATTACTTTCTTCTGTGAAAACTGAAATATTAACTATAGGAAATTATCTTCTGCCCAGAAAAATGTTGTTTGTGCATATTTTTGCAATAGTTCTAGAACGATAATAAAATAGTTGAATTTTTGAATTACTTGAATTATTTGTGCTACTTTCTAAACATTTTTTCATTTGTTGAGATTTGATAAATCTTCAAATAAAAAGAAAGAATTCAAAAAAAACATAATAAATATCTTGTTTTTTCTTTACTTGAAAAGATTAAACTATTAAGATCATGTAATATAAAGGGATGTTTAAAAAAATTTATAAATAAACGAAGTTCATCACATTGATTATGAAAAAATTGGTCGAGTTGTTGTTGGTCTTAAAACATTTGAAAGAACATAAATATCTTCTAAACATCCAACCTATATAAAAGACAAAAATAACAAACAATTTGTATTTGAGTTGATGCTTGAACGTGTAATGAATGATGAATTTTATATATCCATTGACATGGTAAAAATAAATTGTGATCAACAAACCTTAGAATCAAAAAGTAGCTAATAATTAACTTAATGCAATAAAATCGACTTATGCATTCAAATTCGAAAAAAAGCTACCTAGTTAATATCTCTACAAAATACATACTTAGCAAAAGTCGAAGCAATTGCTTGACGAACACGTATATCAGGATATATTGTTTTAATTGTTGTTGTTATTGTTCAAGATAAGTTAATATTCGAAAATCAATATCATCTATAAGTTGAGCTAGAGCAAACTATTTTATATACATACAAAAAAAAATTATTATAATCATAAATTTCTTTTATCTACTTTAGCAAGAACATAGGTACTTGTACTATGTTGAATAGAATCTTCTAATAATTCAATTCCTATGATTGTAAATGCATGACTATTAATTAATAAAAAAGGTAATAATGTTCGTAAAGCATTTAATGAAACATGCATAACACATGCATTATTATCATTAAGACATATAACCTTGAACTGTCTTGTGAATCAGTTGATACAAGTGAACATTGATTAATAAAAGAATTATTAAATGAATTTGACAATAATGATAGTGTTAAAAGATGAATTGTTGTTTTAATTAATATAACAAGTAAATTTGCACATGCACCACGTAAATGTAGATCACCGTGTTCACATAAAGATAAAAGATATGTAATATCTTAAAGAAAAGAAAAAGAAAAGATACCTTGATGTTCAATAAATTTTAATGTATTACAAGTCATATAGAGATGTGAATTTCATTTTTCTCATTAGAAAGTTCTATTTCAATTACAAAATTATATCTAATCAGAAATCTTCAAAGACTAAAGAAAAACTCCTTAGAGGATACAACTGATTTCATATCTTGAACTTCGGCTTAGAACTTTTTTGAGGTAGTTGTGTGATTCGATAATTTCAATCTCTGATGTATAAATGCAGGCTTTGAGCTTCAATAAAATGTTCTACTTGATATCGTTTCGAGTCTGATAATGTTCTAGTCTTTTGTTGGTTTCAAAAAAATTAAAAGTAGGAATAGGACTAGAGCTGCTGAATCAATACTGAGAAATCTCCGTTCTTGAATTTTCAGATTCCAATATATATATATGTTTCAACAATTTAATAGTGAAATTGTCATATCTATCAGATAACTTTCACTAAAACTTTGAGACCTTAACCAATTGAAGCCACGTCAACTAAACTCTGCCACAATCCCCTTCACCTAGGCCCTCCTACTGTTTCGACATTAGAAATAATTTTGGATTATAAAATAGATCTATTTTACTGAAGTGAAACTTTACAAAAAGAAGCCTCAAACAAGCATTAAACATACTTTCAGTAGGATAATCAAATCAACCAAATTGTTGATAAATACGATAGACATATTGGTATAGCACATTTAACACTAATACGTGATTCATCATCACCTTTTATCGTACCATCCATATTAAGCATATATCTAATCAGAAAAAAATATAATTTATTAACAAGTTTAGCAGCTGATGTTCGTTTTTCATTATTAATCATTGATGTTGAATCGAATTTATCATTCATTTCAATAAATCAACGTTGATATGTTGAATAAGCTATTGTTTTAGAAAAAAAACAAATGAAAAAAAATTCTTGTTTTATTTCTCAGTATTTACCTGTTTTTAAGGCTTCACTAACACAAGTTTTTTCTATAGATCCAATTTGAATTGAAATTAATAATTGATCAAAATCAAATAAATTTGAATATTTAAGTATCATTTCAAGTGTTTACAATGAACTTGATACAACATTATGATCATTATGTCGTAAACAAGTATAACACACCATATCAACATTAAAGAAAGATTTATATTGAAAATAAAATCATTCATTATTTGTTGAATACTGATTGAAAGATGTTATTCATTTGTATCAATATTTTTACTTCTATTTATTGATTGTTGATTATTGCTTGATTATGATTGAAATTCTTAGATATTTAAACCAAATAATTGAGGGTCGGGATGTGTAGGGATAAGCAATACAAACACTCACAACCACCTCTCAAAATGCCTGAGTCTTCTTAAAGCACATTCGCCATACTTTCTTCGGATGCATCTAACGAAGTTTGAGTGATAAATAGAGTTTTTCATACATCGAACGATAAAATAAAAAATATAAAATTTTTCACTTATTTATTTTGAAGCTTTCAACACTACTTCTATAATTATCAATTTCAAAAAAAATTTACGATAGAAAATATTTATATATATTAGAATAAAGTTCAAAGCCTAATGAATCATCATAACTCAAATTTACGCTTATACAAGTATCAGTGTATATTTTTTCATTGCAACAACACGAAACGCAAAGGTAAGGTAAAAAAAAGAAGAAGTAGAATATATGAAAAACGAAACGTATTTTATGACGAACACATGGTCGAAAAAGTCGTTTACATGATGAAAAAGTCATGCTTCATTGATTCATGTAAATACTCAGATCGAAAAAGCACGATCGTAAACGGTTGTATACAAAGAAATACGTCTAGAAACGGTCATCGTATACGACGATCGTGTACGATGAGCGTATACGATGCCGTACGTTAAATTACGATCACCGTATACGTTGAAAATAAACGACTGTCGTGTACAAGTGTAGTATACGACCGTATATGGTCGTAAGTTAGTCGTAAATTCCCAGGTTAAAAACCTGACGTCAGATCATGCAAGATCCGAAATGATTTTACCCTTATAAGATTTTCTCTATGAGCTTGTCACAAGAGCATATGATTTCTCATGTGTTCACTTTTTCAAGATTTCCTCAGATTCTGACCATAAGATGTTAGCAAAAATTTTACAAAAATTAAAGATTAAGAAACGTATAAGTGCAGCCTGAATTTTTTTTCTCAGGTCTTATCAGATCCTATCAGATTCATGTAAAAAGAAACATATGACAGTGCATAATGTAGATCTTTTCTGTTCTTACCTGATGGTGTATGGTCTCTCCTGTTCTTTAACTTAGTCGAGAATTGATGATTCGATTAGTTCTACTATGAAAAAGAGTGGTTAAAACACAGGATTAAGCTGTGTACCTAATTTATTCTAGTACTTTTCTCTAGTGATTATATAGAAAATCTTAATCTCCATTTCTTATTTTTCTATATTAATAATGTAGAAAACTTGAATTTTCATTTCTTATCTTCCTAAACTTATAGCATAGGAAAGGGTAATTTAATTTTAATCTTTCTCTATTTAATAAAATTGAAAACCCTAATTTTCATTTTTTATTTTTCTATAGTGATACTATAAAAAATCTTAATTTTTACTTTTTATTTTTCTATATTTGATATTATATAAAATTCTATTCATTATTTTTCATTTTTCTATACTGGTAGTATAGAAATTTCCATTTTTTTTTCTTAGTTTTGTATTTTGGCAAAATAGAGAATCCTATTTTTGCCTCTCATTTTTCTATATTAATAACATAGAAAATTATATTTTTTAATTCTTATTTTTCTATGTTGATAATATAGATAACGATTGGTTTTATTTCTTATTTTTCTATATTCGCAAAATAGATAACAGTTACATTTATTTCTTATTTTTCTATATCAATAATATAAGAATCTTGATTTTCATTTCTTGTTTTGCTAAATTGGTAGTTTAGAAAATCTTATGTATTATTTTTAATTTTTTATATTGATAATATAGACAATCCCAATTTTAATTTTTGATTTCTCTATAGCGATAATATAGACAATCTTAATTTTTATCTTTTACTTTTCTGTATTGATAATATAGACAACAGTTACTTTCATTTCTTAGTTTTCTATATCATTAATATAGAAAATCTTGATTTTCATTTTTTATTCTCCTATATTGGTAATGTAGAATTTTTATTTCTAATTTTTCTATATTAATAATATAGAAAGTCTTAGTTTTTAATTCTTATTTATTTATATTGATAATATAAATATCCGTTAGTTTTAATTCTTATTTTTCTGTAGTGATAATAATAGAAAATGTAAAAATAGGGTCCTCTATGTTACCAATATAGATAACTAAGAAATACAAATTAGGATTTTCTATATTATGAATATAGAAAAATAAGAAATAAAAAATAAGATTTTCTATATCAGCACTATAGAAAAGTAAGAAATAAAATTTAAGATTTGCCACATCAGTAATGTAGAAAAATAAGAGGTAAAAATTCGCATTTTCTATATTACTGTTATCGACAAATACAAACACTTACTGTTTCTATTTCATCAATATAAAAAAAAATCTGATTTTCTGTATGATTAATATAAAACAAAAAGAAATATAACTAACTGTTATCTGTATTATCAATGTAGAAAAACAAGAAATAAAAATTAGAATTTTTATATTATTAATATAGAAAAACAAGAAGAAAACAAACTGTTATCTATGTTATCTGTATACAAAATTAACAAATAAAAATTAAGATTTTCTATATTATCAATATAGAAAAATAAAAAATAAATAGGATTTACTATTTTATCACCATAGAAAAATAAGGAATACAAGTAACCGTTTTGTGTACTATTAATATAGAAAGATGAGAAATAAAAATAACCGTTTTCTACACTATTAGTATAGAAAAAGAAGGAAAAAAATAGGTACACTGTTCGATCCTTTTTTCCAGGTACTGTTCTTCATCGGAAAGCTGATGGAATCAACTATTCTCGAATAAGTGAAAGAACAGGATAGACCATACACGATCAGATAATAATAGGCAAGACCTACATTATGTACTGTGTATGTTTCTTTTTTGGATCTTATATGATCTGTTAAGATCTGACAAGAAGGATTCAGTCTGTCCTTATCAGTGTCTTAATCTTTGAACCTTGTAAGATTATTTGCTCACACCGTACAATCAAAATCTAAGAAAATGTTTAAAAAAAAATGAACATATAAGAAATTGTGCGATATTGTAACAAGATCATAGGAAAAACCTTACAAGGGTAAGACCTTTTTGGATCTTGCAGTTGCAGGATCCGACATCTGGTTTTTTGAGAGTGTGAGTATGAGTGTAATTATTGTATTAACCCACACCCTTTTGACTGATCATGATTTTTACTGAGCCTGTTCATACCAAGAGGAAATAGATGTCGCTTGTTTTAAAAACATGTAATTTTTATCAGTATGAAACGGATTTATTGCTTAACAATTTTTTTCTGACACAATTGATAGGAATAAAACAAATATACCTCTTGTTTAAAATTATGTACTACGTTTTTTCTTCGATCAAGTATCTACTTTTTAACACAGAGACATTACTCTTCAGTAATCATAGCTGTAACGGTAGCAGACATGCCTGCTTATTTTGTAAGCATATATATATCTGCATTCTTTTCCCATTAAGTACTCAATTCTTGACGTAAGATAGGCATCTTGTATTTAATATATTAGCTTTGTCATGAAATAGTCGGTTCATAGCAGTAGAAGGATGAATGCTTCTTGTTTTATAGATGAAGTAGAGAGAGATTTCTTATCCAATAGAAATTAGTTAAATAATATTAAATCTTCAGTTTTGAATGAGTGCAAAATCGTTGTTTTATCAATTTATTTTTTTAAATTTAGACTAGCGCATAGTATAGTATGCTATACATTAGATTAGATCTAATACTAATATTTCTATTATAAATTTAATTTTCTATTTGATGAATTCGATTTTTTATCTTTTAGATTAAATAAATTTTAGGTTTTATTTTCAGATGAAATAAATTAAATATTTTACTTTTTAGGTTATATAAATTTTATTTTATTCGTTTTTGATTAAATAAATTTTAGCTTTTATTTTCAGATTAAATACATTAAAATTTTTATTTTTTAGATTAAATAAATTCTATTTTTTAGTTTTAGATTAAAGAAATTTTATTTTGTTAGTTTTAGATTAAAGAAATTTCAGTTTTTATCTTTTAGATTAAAGAAATTTTAGCTTTTATTTTTTAGATTATCACAAAGGATAGATGAAATAGTTAAGTATCAATTTAATTAAATGGGGATGTCCAATTTGACTGGAGGTACAAATTCTTTTTTTTTTCATGCAGCTTTGGTGATATATCAAAACAATACGATGATATATCATCGAAGCTGCATGAGAAAAAAAGAATTGGAGACTCCAGTCAGCCTGGACACCCCAAGGATTAGTTTTTCTATTTTTAAAGAGTGGGGGGGGGGGGGGAGGTAGCAAAAGCTTGCATGAAAGATGGTAACAATCGACATTGTATACGACTGTGTACGATCGTTTGCGACAGTCGTATACAAGTCGTATTTCGTCGTATACGACACGACGATATACGGTCGTAATTCTGGCGTCAAGTAATACGGCGAAATACGATCGTAATTTACACCGCATACGACAGTACACGATCGCATACGACTGTCGTAATGTTCGTCCTGGGTATACGTTTGTGGGAAAAAAACCAAGTAATTTTGTCAATGACAAATACAGAACAAAATCGATTGCAGGCACACAAAACAAAATTTGCTACACTCCAATATTACATAGCACGTAAGTGTATTTAGTTTCTA